ACAGCAGGCCAAGCAGCATCATAGGAGCAGAAAGGCTGACGTTTCGGACCTAGACCGGGTCTAGGCCCAAAACGTCAGCCTTTCTGCTCCTATGATGCTGCTTGGCCTGCTGTGTTCATCCAGCTCTGCACCTTGTTGTCATTAGTGTAGATAGGTTGGTGCAGACTTGACGCCAAATTGCTGTCCTGTACTGTATGTTTCGATTGGTCTTGTGGCTGAATGACAATCACGCATGACATAATGTACCTTCAGCCACTCTGCTTTGAGAGTCACTCCTCTGAATACAGCAATCTTTCTGAACCATTAACTTTCGTTAAAATAAATGGAGGTCAGAAAAAAAATGTTGTGGACCATGTATTAAGAAACTCTTAACAAGCTCTGTGTTGTATCATCTATCTCTCCTAGCACAGAAAATATGTCTGATATTTATATCGAATTCTTAAAAACTGCTCTTGGTTGTAATGGTCTGGGAGGTGATTCACATCTTCACAGAGATGCCCTGTTGAAGCTGGGAAAGTATAATTCTGTTCAAGGCACAGTTGTGTTTTTTTTTCCTGAAGAAGTAGATTCCTAATGAGATTCAGGACGACAAAAAAAATCTTCCCGATCAGGAAACGGTTTTGCTGGGAGGAAGGGTTACAGGCTTAAGCTCTGGGAATGTTGTGTCTACTTCCAGAGCTGGTCTGGAAATGGAGTAGGATTCAGAAAATAAATGTAAACGTACCCAAGGCCAAAGAGTAGAGCGTTAGTTGGGCCATTTTCCACGTACTATTGTCGAAGTACTGAAGGATTTGTCATGAGCTATTACTAATCTTGTATTATTAACACAGCCTCAGTTACATTTTTCTAGTAAATGCATTACTGTATCATAAATTATAAAGAAAATGGGTGTTACTCTCCTTTCCAGAGATAAATATCTCTCATCGCTTTCTCAGCTGATATCTACCGCCCCGATTAACAAAGTGCATACTTACTGAAAAGTTCCCTCATTTTCCCTCAGGATTTCAAGCGAACATTCTCCCAAACTTCAAATACGAAGCCACAGTTATCTGCGCGCAGTCAGTGAAGTCTCAATTAACCGAAGTTTGGATAGCTTGGATCCTGCGGTGCTTCTCGCCTCGCCCAAGTTCCGTTCTCGCAACGAGAGCTATATGAGGGCCATGAGCACCATCAGCCAGGTAGGCAATTTGTGATGGTTTAGGTTGAAACTTTAAATCATCTTACACGCTCTGAACTAAACTTGCTGAAATCTCTGTCTGTAGGTGAGTGAGGTGGAAGTTAATGGACAATTCGAATCTGTTTGCCAATCAGTATTTAGCGAAGTGGAGTCGCAGGCGGTCGAAGCGCTGGATTTGCCCATGCCGGGATGTTTCCGTATGCGAAGCCACAGCTACGTGAGGGCTATTGAACGTGGCTGCTCACAGGATGATGAAAGTTTGTCTCTTAGGCCAGCATCACCGCCTCGAACAACCACTACGGTGAGGACCATCCAAAGCAGTACTGGTAGGTTTTTGGATGATAATGAATCGATAAAGTGTGTGGCTGAGTGTGGCTAGGGAATTGGACAAATAATGAGAACAAAAAACGGCAGCTTTTTTTTTGTCCCCATTTGTACTTCGCTTTCTTCGCAATTGCTAATAATCATGAAGTAAATTTTTCAATTCTCCAAAGCTGCTCAGGTCAAACATGCCTGTTTAGAATAGAATTACCAAACATTTCAATTTACACAAAAGGCATACACCAGACACCACGGATCCGGAAACTTTCCAAGCATTCGCTGCTGGGAATTGATAGATGGAAAATCCTGGGCGCCTTGTTGGATAAGGGTACCTGCCAGTTATACTAACTCAAAACTAATCCTCTCCCTTACCCCTCCTGTTCTTCAAATGTGTTTATTCTTGCCTACAGTGTTAGTAAGATAGGGTAAAGATGCACGTTGTGTCGAACAACTGTACATTCAATAGCAAAATTAGTACTGTCTCAATGAAATATATATGTTCTCTTCATTTAAAGTCTGTATTCTAGTGTATCAATACTTAGTGACGACAGACAGTTTTGAGAGGAGGTCAGTGCTTTTACTTATTGTAAAGTCGACCTTAACATCTTTTGGTCTGTTAATGGCAGCTAATTATTCCTTGACATATCTAAATAAAACAGGTTTCACACTGTGTGACTCTAAGTGAAAGAAAATCACATTAATTAGACAATGGAGAGCATTGCAAAGAAAAAGGAAGTATAATAACAACTGAGTGAGTTTATTTAATTGGACTGATTGTTCAGGTTTTGCTGAAGTAAGGTTAAAAGGTAACGGTATGTTTTAAAAAGACTAAGTACAGTAAGGCTGCGCTGTTAAGGTGGAGTTTCACTCATTGGGAGCATAGTTTGCAGAATTGGCTTATCTTTGGCCAATGTCTATTATAATCTATATTCCTATTATACAACATTCCATGTAAGAGTTCAGCATCACCCAATCCAGGCTTTAATATGACTTAACACATGTTTCGTTCTTAAGTACACAATTTCCTGTCATGACATTTAGACGCATATAGATACTGTTAAATTGCAAAATTTAATAAAAACATAGAAAGACTGCATTTCCCTTTAATTCTTACACTAATTTTCAGTAAACTCACAATACTGTTGATATATTGGCATGCCAGGTTGCAAAGCGATATCTTTTGGTCCAGTGGCTGATTTGAGATATCATCAGACTTGGAAAATTAATAATTGTTGGATTGGTCTTAAAGGTTACGAATGTTAAGCGCAGAATAGAATGTTTCCCATAAATTATTGATACCAGCAGTCCCATGTCAAGAACAGCATGACTTTGATTTGAGATGGTTCCTTGTCAGTGCCTGCACTTTTATCAGTTTAACAAGAGGGTCAGCCACTTGCAAAGTGTGGCATTTAATGTTCCAAAACTTGCATTCCTACAGAGGGCAGAATTGTAACTGCTGTCAGGGACATGGGGCAGGTTGGGAGTTAAAGACCTGAGAAATGCTGGCCAGTTGAAAATCTAAAATGGTTTTCCATTTCTGATTTTTACTGGAACTGAATGGGAAGCTTCCACAGAGTTGTCAAATAAGTAATTCAAACGTTTAAATAATAAGATGGTCATGGATTTAACTCAGAATTCTGTTAGTAACAGGGTTTCCTGAGCTGGAACTCATATTCCTGTGTGAAACTTGATAGGGTCAACAAGGTGAGAACAGAGTAAACAGTCTTTGTACAATGAGAAGAACAGGCTTGAAAGCCTTTACTTAGTAAAACTAAATAGCTGACTCTGCAACATGCTTGTGATCACAGCGCTTATTCAGAGAGCCAGATTTCACTGCTTCACCCATGGTTAACCAATATTCTCAAAATAGTTTTATCTACTTATGACTTTCCTCACTTTGATCTGATCTTCTTTGATGACAGCATTCATTGCAGTACGGAAGCAGCTAGTGTAACTCTACCTGCAAATCTCTGAGGAAAAGCTAGAGTAGCAACAATGCCATGAGTAGCAGTCTTCTCCTCAGTCACATGCTCCATCACAGGGCAGAAGAGGTAGACACAGAGATCCAGCTCGGAATGGGAGATATGCCAATACAGGTTCCACACAGACAGAGGATCACTTTGCTCAATTAGTCAGGCTCTCATGGCAGCTAAGGCATCTGATGCCTCCTGGACCAAGACTTCCTACATTGTAGAACTGGTGAAACTGATGACCATGCATTGCAAGTGGCTCTCACTGCAGGACCATTGCTATTTCCTGTCTCACCCTACTATTGTGTCACAGAAGAATGCTGAGAGAAATGGATTGTATGGAGGCGATACAATAATAACATTTGTCATGGGTCACTATGAGGCATGGATGCAAGATGTTAGTACAATGCAGACTTGTATTAGTATTGGTTTTTCAAAGAGAGATGTGTGGCAGTGCCAGGTGAGAGGGGAGCTGCAAGGTGTGTTGGTTTGAGATGTGTTGTGTATGAAAAGGCTGAAGAGCAGAGAGTGCAGGAATTGGCAACTGAAAGTGAGAAGTATTCAACATTTCTGACTTTGAAGTCAATAATTTTTCTAGGGGCACTATGTCCTGTTTGAGGAACCAGACTTCTATCTCTCGTATCCTCAGTCGCTTTCATTGCATCATATGAGAGGCTGATGCCTTGCTCCTTGGAAAATAATTTCGCTAATGCAGGGTCTCTTAGGATTAGGAACAAGTGAGAGATCTGGGGCAGCAACAGGAGAATAGATTGCAAGCTTCCCTTACCTCCTTTCCATTCGTTCGATTACTGTAGCCTGAAAAGGTGGTATAGAATTTGGCATCACGCCTGCACATTATTATTGGGCAGGAAACCCATACGTGAAATGAAAGAGCTACAACGAAGCCCAAAAACCAGCAAATGATTCCTGACATTCTTTCTCTGAGGTGGAAGTAAAAAAATCATGCAGAATTATTTTGAAGAGTATCCCCATTGACCTGGTCAATATTCATGCCTCAGGCAGCAACCGTAAGAACGGATTATCCAAACTTTATCATGTTGCTGTTTGTCAGAGCTCTTTGTAACCAAATTGACAGCTACATTTTCTCCTTAATGTCCCAAGATCTGAATTAGAGACAGGAATAAGCCACCTCACCTCTGAAGCCAGCACTGCTTGGCTGTGCTGTTCATTCCACATTCTCACTTCTGCATGATAACCTTTCACCTCCTTGTTTATCAAGAATCTATTTACGTCTGCCTTATGAAGATTCTGACACTACTTCTACAGCCTTTCAAAGAAGAAAGCTCCAAAAACTCATGATTTTCTGTGAGAAAAAATATTCTTCTTCTCTCTATATTAAATGGGTGACCCTTATTTTAAATGGTGACCCCTAGCTCTGGAGTCTCCCACAATAGGAAACATTGTTTACACATGGATCTTGTTAAGACTCTTCAAGATCTTATGTATTTCAAGCAGGTCACTTCTTACTCTTCAAATGTCCATGATATACAAGTTTAGTTAGTCTGACCTTTCCTCAAAATACAACCTGCTTATTCCGGGTTTTAGTTTGGTAAACCTTCTCTGAACTGCTTGGGATGAATTTACATCCTTCCTTAAATAAGGAAGCCAATAATATGCACAATAATCCAAGTGTGGTCTCACCAGTGCCCTGAATAGCTGAAGCATGACCTCCCTATTTTGGTATGCAATTCCCTTCATGGTAAACAATAACATTCTATTTACTTTCCTAAAGACTTGTTTTTCGGCATAGAAAGCTTTTACAAATCAGGTACTAGAATCTGCCTGCCTCCTAAAACTCTGCAATCTCTAACCTTTTAGATAATGTGCTTCTTCTTTATTCTTCCTGCCAAAATAGACAATTCTGCAATTTCTCACATTGTACTCCATCCGCTATTTTTTTGCCCATTCACTTAACCTGTCTATATCCCTTTACGTTCTCTTCACAACATACCTTCCCACCTATCTTTGTGACATCAGCAAATTTAGCAACCATACCTCCAGTCCCTTCAGTCAGGGCATGTGCATAAATTGTAAACAGTTGAAGTCCCAGCAACAACCCCTGTGACACACCATATATTACATCTCACCAGAAAATTGCCTATGTAAGCCTCCGCTGTTTCCTGTTAGCTAGCTAATCTTGTATCTATGTAATTTGCTGCCCACTACACCATGCGCTTTGTTTTAAGCACAATAACGTTTAATGTGGCTATCAAATACTTTCTAAATCTAAGTACAGTGTATCTACTGGTCCCTCTTTATCCACACCATATATTACTTCTTCCAAGAACTCCAGTAAGATGGTTAAGCATGACTTACCTTTCACAAGACTATATTGACTCATCCTGATTACCTTCAACTTGTCTAAGTGCCATGCTGTAATATATGTTATAATACCCTCCAATATCTTCTCTGTGTCACATGTTAAGAGAGCTTTTCTTTAGTTTCTTGCTTTCTACCTCCCTCACCATTTTGAATAAAGGAGTTATGTTTGCTTTGTTTTCAAATCTAATAGAACCTTCTCCAAATCTAGGGAAATTTAGAAAATTTAAAGCAACAGGTCAACTATTTCACTAACCACTTCTTTCAAAGGCCTCAGATAAAGTCCATCAGGACCTGGAAGTTAACAACCTGCAGCTCCAACAATTTGATCAGTTTGACTTTCCTGTTGGTTGTAATTTTCTTGAGTTCCTCCTCCCGTTCCACTTCCTGATTTACAGATATTTCTGTGATGTTACTTATATTCTCTATATGAAAAATCATGCAAAATGCCTGCTCGATGCACATATTTCCTATGGGACCAATGCACAGTTTCTTACCTCTTTTCTTTTTGAAATATCTATAGAAACTCTTACTATCTGTTTTTATATTTCCACATAGCTTTCTCTCATGTTCTATGTTTTCCCTTCTTATTAATGTTTTATTCATGTCTGCCGTTTTTATATTTTGTCTGATCTTGTGATCTGACACCCATGTCCGCATAATTGTATGTATTTTCTTTAAGTTTAATTTTAACCTTGACTATTTCGTTGATCCACAGATGATGGGTCCTTCTGTAGGATTTTTTAACTTTTCAACTTTTCTTTCTTGTTGGAATGTATGTATTCTATGTATTCCGAAACATCCCCTTAAATGTCTGCCACTGCACCTCTATTGGACTAGCCCTCAATCTAATTTACCAGTTCACTTTAGCTGGCTCTGCTTTCATGCCCTCATAATTGGCCTTTTTCAAATTTCAGGTATTAATTTTTGATCCATCCTTCTCTCCGTGAAACTGAAGTCTAAAATTCAATCATTCAAATACAATAGTGACTACACCAATAATGTACTTAATTAACTGTTAATTGCTTTGGAATGTCA